AAAAAAACCCCCCACACACAACCCATAGCCAAAGGGGATGCCAGTGAGGTGTGGCTTGCATTTAAATATCCAATATGTCAATGTAAGGGGAGTGTGTACGTATATAAGTGCGGTGTACATCCGAGCGCGGGACACATCCAGGATGGGAGGCGCGGGCAGCGCGGCGCAGGGCCGGGGCCGGCAGCGCGGGGCCGGGCGGCAGCAGCCCGCGCCCTGAGGGCCGCTCGGCGCTCGGAGGCCGCTCCGCGGGGCCGGCCCTGGCCGCGGCCCCATGGCCGAGGTGGGCGGCTTCCTGGGCGCGCTGGACCCCGACCTGCACGGCTTCCCCCCCGCGCTGGGCGGGCTGCCCCTCGCCGACTCGCCCGGCTTCCTCAACGAGCGCCTGGGGCAGATCGAGGGGCGGCTGCAGCGGGGCTCCCCCACCGACTTCGCGCACCTCAAAGGCATCCTGCGGCGGCGGCAGCTCTACTGCCGCACCGGCTTCCACCTGGAGATCTTCCCCAACGGCACGGTGCACGGCACCCGGCAGGACCACAGCCGCTTCGGTAAGGGCGCGGCGCGGCGGCAGGTGCCGGCCCGGCAGGTGCCCGCTCGCTGTTCGGGGCGCTGGAACCGGCCTTTCCCTGGCTGTGCGGGCGCTTTTATTTCCTGTTTGCTGCCCTCCCGGCGTTCAGCCCTTCCGCAGGTGCGAGGAACGTGCCTTAGGAAAGAGGGAAAAAAAAGGCGGAGGGGGGTGCACGGGGTGTGCAGCCGAGCTCTAGCCGTGCCGCTGAAGGTAGCAGCAAAAGAAAGGAGGGAGCACATCGGAAAATGAAATTCCTGGCTTTTTCTTTCTTTCTTTCATTCCTTCTTTCTTTTTCCACCTTTCTTTTGGCCACCGCAGATATCTATGAGCTAATGTGATTTCCCCCCCGTGCATAAATCTCATTAGAAGCGTCTCCCCCCGAAGCAGGCAGGGATCAGCTGGCTGGGTTGGTGTCAGAGCTTGGTTCTGGGAGGCTGTTGGAAAGGAGAGGGGAAGCTGAAGGGGACAAATGCTTAGGGGGCCTCTGAAAGGAGAAGATGGAGCAACAGGCAGAGCACTGCGGATTTACCTTACTGTCTGGGATAAAGCTGGAAGACTTCCGAGTCCGTATCAGTGTCACACAAGAGTAGGGATCTTTAATGAGACCATATGTAATCTTCCAAAAATGCATCCCAAGCCACAAGCGAAGGAGTACAGTTTGAGCACAGCTGAGAAAAATTCCCGCTATTTCAGCATCTAGTGCAGGTGTCTGGGTAAGCCATCAACAAGTCCCATGCCAGTGATCTCAGCTTTGTTGTCAACAGGTTGCAAGAAGTGTTCGCGAGACTTGTTACAGTTTTCAAGCGATTTAACTCCTTGCTGAAGGGAATTCTTTTTTTGACTTTAATGTTTGCAATCAGTCCTCTCTGATTCTTCAGCAACACTACTGCTGATGCTGCAGTTGTTGTTAGTTTAAGGCAGGTTTTTGGAACAATTGGAAAAGCTTATCTGCGAACTGTGCTTTTCCATAAACACCAGGTGTGTGTGTGTGTAGCGTGTCCTTGCCTAAATCAACAAGAAAGTCATAACCTGCAGGTCAGAGTAAGGTACTAATAGGCTCATGGGGCAAGTGTTCTTTAATTACCCCCGAAAGACACATATCTTTGACCTTTTAAAAGAAACTGAAAGCAAACCCATGGCATCTGTTTGCTTTTTAGTTTAATCTGCCACGTAGCCTTTATATCAGTTCTTTTTACCTATCTCTATACAGTAAACTGTTTCAGATGGCAGTGCTTCTCTCAGTTCCATTTCTTTAAAAGCTGAAAGCATTTCCAAACAAACTTTGGAAAAATGCATTAAACGGGCTAAAACTTTTCATGAATTTTGCGCACTTAAGCTTAAGTCACACAGTGTGTTCAATAAATTGAAACACTGGCATTCCCTAAGTGTTTTAGCAGTCAGCATCCAGCTACGTAAACTAGACCAGACTTCAGATATAAAATATTATAGTTTTCTGCTTCAGGGTTTTCCCAAAGGCAGTGTAAAATAAATAGTTATTTGTTGTAATTGCATGACAAAGCCCCAAAGGATTAGACTGGAATCCTCATGTTCAGATAAAGTTGGACTGAACCTCGCTTCAGCAGAGACTCAAAGCAATAACGTATTGGCACACAGTGTTCACCATCTGCGTTCAGTAGCCATGAATATTTAAATTCCAATGTTACTGGTATGGTTCATATTAGGATGTCATGTATCAATGCATTCCTAAATTTTGCGTGCAGCAGTCAGAAAGCAGTAACTTATTGCAGAAATAGGCAGCCTGCATGATTCTGGGGAACTACAGAACTATGGGTAGAGAAGTTTTCAGGGTAGCAGTTTAAAGCTGCCTGAAGTCTAGGGGCACCTGGGGAAATAGAAATCCATTGTGCTGGCTTGGTGGATCTGGCACACGTGGCTGGAAGGTGCTCCCAGATCACATCAGCATATTACTCATCCATGCTTGTTCCACAGATGGCTCCTTGGGATGCCACAGTAAAGGCACGTATCCAGCTGCAGATGGGATGTAGGTGGGAACTGGACTTTGTATCCCCATCTCTGAGTGCTGGAAAGCATTCAGGAAAAGGACAGACAGTAACTGCACCCTCCCATGCACAGCCAGCTCTGAAGTTACCAGACTTCCAGAGAAGTCTTCCAGAAAGGAAAAGAATGAGCCAAAGCCCTGGTAATGCAGAATAGAGGGACGGATTCATTTGTACCTCAGATTTCAAGGCATACACTCATGGGGCACAGGAAAACTAGCAGCAGCATCTACCCACAATGCCTGAGCAATCACAGTAACCACTGCCTCTCATCTGTCGATTGGAGCTTTTTGATGTCACACCTGTCTTCTGGAATGTGACACTTTATACTAGCAAAAATATAGATTCATACGAGAACTCAGCGTGCAGCTTATTTTTCCTAGAAGAAGCTTAGTGCAGAGTGAAGCCCTCCAGGACCATTGGAAGAAAGCTCTTTTAGATTGAGTGCCCAAATGAGTTCTCTGAACTGGAAGTTCCATCTAAGCCATTCCAGAAAAAAAAGGGAGGCATTTTTAAAACCATGTCTGTTCTCACTGCATCTGCTAGTGACCTTCCTGTATAAGGAAATAAAGGATGGTCAAAGGCTGGAGAGGGTTTGGACTGACATTGACAGCCCTATGAGAAGAATCCTGAGAAGAAAAGTGAGATAAATTCTGCAGGGAAATCTCTGCCACCAGGAAGCACTCGTTTTCTGCCTTGTGTCTGTTTTACACCAGCACTCAACAGGTGACTCCAACAGCGCTACTCTTCACTACAAGTGAAGGGAAACAGCCTCGAGTTTGTACTGGAGACTGATAAAGGGAGAAAAACAAAGCTCTCCTTGGGTACAAATCCGGTAACAGACCCGTAACAGAGTCTCTTAGAAAAGCCAGCGAAACCTCCGGAGAAGGTTTTGCAGTAGATTTTGACATTCAGACTCTTGTGCACCTGTTATGAACAGTTGTTGAGGTTTTTTAGCCAAAGCTTTGAGTTTGTAGACATTAATACAACATCTGAGGTTGTTTCTGTAGCCCCACTCATCAATATAGTTGTGTGTGAAGAGACAGGTGCAAGGAGCTGAATTGTTCTTTGAGGGATAGTTTATAGTAATGCGAGAGCGTGGGTCTGGCTGCGACAGCGCTTGGGAGATTATGGAGTGCTTTGGTGTTAAATGAATCCAGTTGGAGTCTTAATCAAATCTCTCCGAATATCATCTAGAAAGACTCAAAGAACAAGCAGGATGAATAATCAAAGCATAAAAAATGAGGCGAGTCCTGGGGGAAGGGAAAAAGAGAAAGGGAGGAAAAAAAGTTTAAAAGGAGAGGTCTGCCACCAAGACGCTGCTACAATTCGAAAGAAAATTCTCCATCTGGCCCCAATGGCTGCTCCGTGTGTTACTGCAGATCACATGTAGGAAGCTGCAATTTTGCCTAGTAATTGGAGTGAGTTAAGGACAGGGTGGATATCTGCCCACATTTTTTCAGCCTTCGCTCTATCTCCTGACTTCTGTGGGTTTAAGATACGTTCTTAATGCTATTTCAACATAGTTATCTTCAGCGCACATCTTTCAGTACCGCTCTGAGATCAGAAAAAGGGAGTATTACAAGTGATGTTGTCAGAAGAGATCGTCACAGGCCCACCTTGAAGAAATCTCTTTCACAAGAACGGCAAGCACTGACCTCATCTGCTCCAGATGAGAGGTGTCTCCCCCACTCAGAGAGGGGGGTCAGTGCTGCTCCTGGGTTGCCCATACCAAGTCAGTGGATTCCTGGGTTCAGGTGCCACAGACAAGCACGCTGGTGGGTATGCTCACAAAAAGCGATCTGTTTTCCTTCCTTAATCATCCCTCTGTTCCTGAACAGGATGAGGAACATTTTCCTGCTTCCTAGGCATGAGAGAAGGTAAATTTTAAAAAAGAAAAAAACAGTTTTGCTGAGAACGACATTTCTGCCTATCTACAGCTCTCCAGATACCAGATATTTTTCACTTGATCATTGACTTGTCAGCAGCCTGGGAAACAGTCTGTTTCTAGGTGTCCCTGTGGTCCTTTCCCCCATATTAGTTTTTACTTTATTCTTCTGGATAATGATACCACTATTCAAAAAGAGGGGAGTGAAGTTATCATTATTCAGAAGCAGCAGCTGACATCATGTCTGTAGTACAGGTGGAACATGGAAGTGTACAGCAGCTCGGTAACCTGCTTCATGTTTCAGGAGTGGTGGGTAGCGGAAGCAGATGAAAACTTTCATTCTGCACATCTTCCCTCCCGTGTAGACCATGCTTCTCAGACATGGATACCCAAAGCCAGATGCAATATGAGCAGAGCCAGATCCTGGTTTGCCTGCCTGGCTTGTGAAGGCACTGCCTGCTCCTGGCAAAGAGTCCCCAGGGGAGAAGGAAAAGGAAAGAGTCAGCTCTCCAGAAAGCCAATAATTCTGGATCCTGCTGGAGAGGCTTGAAGAAAACAGAGGACATTTGTGAAGACTGTGCTTGCTTTCTGCTTCAAAGGATCAAATAGGCAATGCATTGATCACCACAAGCCCGAAGGAGGACAGGTTATCCTGCTCTCAGTGTGGCTGAGCATGCATTTCAGCTGGGAAAATTTCTGCACTGACCTAAAAAGCATTTTCTGTTTGTTTCCCTGCTTATTTCAAGGAATTCCAGTTCTTAAGTCCATATTTTGTCCCACTGTGCAGCACCTGCTGGCTGCAGGGAGTGCTGGATCAGACATGCAAACTGAAGAGTAGTAGGCAAGGCAAAAGGAGGACAGAAGGCCTGACAAGAGGCAGAAAGAGGAATTCTTGCCCCTAGCATGGCAGCCAGAATCTGCCTGACAATCTGCTCTGCGCAAAGGTGTCCATCGGCAGGGATCTGCCCTATATTTAGGTGGTGACACGGTTACCCTCTGAAAGTCACCACATCCTCACCTGACCAAGCAGAAGATACATTTCCAAAGCTGAGAGCTGACTGCTGCTGAAGTCAGCCGGCTCAGGTGGCTGTGTGTCATGAGGTGATTTTAGACCAAGGCATACATTTAAGAGGATCAGGAGGTAACCTGATCGGAGCAGTAAGGGGCAATTGCTCAGGACTGGGCATTTTGGGAGCTATATTAAGACACCTGGAGCCAAGCTAAAGGTTAGAGCAACTTTGTCCTCTTCAATGGAGGAGACATCTCTCCTGTTCATTAGACGTGCCTGGGGCTTCTCTGAAGTTTCAATAGAGCAGACGTGGGGCGGGGGGCGGGGGCAGGTTCATGGGGCTGGGGAGGACGTTTCCAGCCAAAAAGATGCCTGGGAGGAAGAACCAGCAGCTCCCCAGCACCGAAGCTGCAAAAGGTGCCTTTCAACCCCTGTGTATGTGAAATTTGGCTTTACCCGTGACATCTGTACACATTTGGGGATAGCAAGTAGCTCACCGGAGCTGCAGGAACAGGGAAGCCCTCACAGACACCTCTTCAGTGCCTGTTTCCTTATTACTATTGTAATGATTACTTTAAAGTCTGTGGGACTGTCTTGTCTTACCAGAAGCCCAGCGGGGACAAGGGTCACTTTGCTTTTGTTGGAGAAATCCAAAACACTAATCAGGCAAGCACAAATGTCTGTCTTTTTTGTGTATGTGACAAAAACAATAGGTGAGCAGTCCTTTTCTCGTTAGGAAAGGTTAATTCCTCTTCAAAAAACCAAGTTCATGATGCTGGGGAGAAATGGATTAAAAACTTACCAGACTACATGCATGTAGGAGTGTAGATTTAACAACTGTGCAGTTATGAATAAAGCAGGGTCTTTGAGACGCTTTATAGCTGGAAAAGCTGTTTTGTGTTTGTCAGCTGGGCCTTGTGTGGGTTTTATCATCTGTGTGATTTGCTTTGCTGTTCTGTTTCAGGGATTTTGGAGTTCATCAGCCTGGCGGTGGGGCTGGTTAGTATCCGTGGAGTGGATTCAGGACTCTACCTCGGCATGAACGAGAGAGGCGAGCTGTATGGGTCGGTAAGTTTAAGGTCTTGTGAATGCAACTCTGTGTAAGAGACGCAGCAATATGGGCTGTGAGGCTTCACTGGTGTCACAAGCTGTGCCTGTCCCAGGCCTCTGATGCCCTTGGGATGCCGCGTGCTTCCGTCTCACCCTGTTATTGTGTCAGTGACAGCTGTGATGTATGGGGGTCACAGGGAGGGGGACACACGCTGTGATGGTCCATGCTGTGGTGCAGCCCCTGAAGCCCTGCACACAGGCACCATTTGGGGCAGTGCCTGGAATGCTGTGGGGTTCGCTGTGGTTCAGCCTTTCAAAAACAGGACAGGAATGGTCAATTAAAGCTGGGTATTTGGAAATTTTGCATAAAACTAGGTGCTGATGGTGTGGTTTCATGATTAACATCAGCTTTATTGTCCACATGATAGGGATCTGCATGTATCTGCAGATCTGACATTTATATTATAGCTCTCTAATGGAAGCTGGAAGTGCGGTCTGAGTGTTGTTTTTGTTATAACATTCTGTACAACCCCTTCTGGGAGTCTGGGGGAGTTTCTCATAACTATCTGGAAGTGCCCTTTCAAGACTACAGTTTTCTGTGTTTTGCCAAAAGCCACATGTAAACTTCTTGTTAGTTTCATTCAACACAAGCTCCTTAATACCTATAAAATCTTCCCTAGCATCACCTATAGGATACTCTGCCTCATTCGGGACTGCTGTAAGATACACAAAGCAGAAATACCCTGCTTCCAATCCAGGCTTAGAGGGGAAGTTTGTTTGTCATTTGCTTCCTTGACTTGGGATATGCCTTAGAGCTGGGATTCCCTGCTCTGGCAAGCAGCTCATGCTACTATAGAACCAGAAGAAATACACTTTGCTGCTTTTCTGCCCAACATTAGAGAATTTGTATTGGCCTTTATCCACCCTAAGCTAGTCCCAGAAAGAGTGCATCTGCTGGGGCTTTGCTGGGTGAAAGAAACAGCTGCATGCAGAGCAAGCACTGTGCAAAAGTGGGCCAGTGCTGCAGGGAAGGGGAGCTCTGCTGGCATTATAGTCAGAATGTCGCATCTTACTAGCTACATTTAATTAACCTAAAGGTTAATTTAATTCTAATTATTTAACTCAGTTCAATATAAAATAATTATTTTTAGCTAGCTAGAAGGATTCACTTCTATTTTGAAAACTTAGTTGCATTCTAGGTAGTTTTCACTAGTGTAAATTTTCTGTTTGAAAACTTTGTGTGTTTTTAGTCCAGATGCCCAGCACTTCTACTCCAACCCATCACACACATGTGGGTTTTTTTAAAAAGTGTCTTTCAAGATCACAGCACTGTGCTGGGTGAAGATACAGATTTTTAAGGGTGGATCACAGTGAATTTAAAGTGAAATAAAATAAACCACTTTTAAGCCAAAGTGGAAGGCACGTACTTCCTCTAACCAAGTCAGATTAATCTCAAGGTGTAGAAATTGAAACCTGTGTACTGTGCATATAGAGAAGCCTTCAGATAAACTCTGCATAGAGAACAGTAACAATAAACCAGGAGTTACTGTCATCTTTTCTTCTCCCATTTCCATCTACTGAGATTGCTGCAGTCCCCTTTGCTACTTTTGAGACACAGGTGCTGAATTTTATATGAGAGAATCAAGGACTAGCATGGATTGTTAACCCTTCTTTATCCACTTCACTACTTTAATAACATCTACCCTAAATAAAAAGTAAGTGCAAGACAGATAAAAAGTCACCAGGATTCCATAAAACAGCACAAATATTTTAAACCACACTTCAGAAATCAGAGCTCAACCTACAACCACACAGCAGGACCACTGTTCAGTTGCACTGTTATACTGCAAGGTTGTTCAGTAGCTTCTGGAATTGCATCTTTTTAACTCATGCCTGCCAAAAATGAGGGAACAAACTTGCTTTTATCCTTTGCTTTCAAGCCCTGCAGTTCTGATCATGAACCAACAAACAGAGTTAATTAAAAATGAGGACCTGTCTTAATGCTGCATCATAGAAATAACAAAAATAGAATTTTACAGCACAGGAATTCTGGAAGCAGAATTGGCCTTAAGATGTAATTATGGGAGCTCTGTCATTGCATCTTGCACATGAAACGCACCAGGCAGTCGCATTAGCATTACAATGGGATTTTAGGAGGCTGCAGTGGAATGGTATTTATAAGATTTCAGCCAAGTTCACTTTTTCCTTCCATGCCCACTTTGCATGCCCTGCGTGCTGAATTAGCAGTGTCAAACACCAGTGCTGCTCCTATGGGGACAAAGCTCCCCAGTACCCACGTCCCAGCCTTTCTGTTACACGGACACCAACTGAAGAAGTGCTAGGAGAGCACATCCTGCAGTCACCTCAGACTCTGAAAACATTTCATGCCACCACAGTTCCACCAAGCAACCCCAGAGAAGCAGGCACCACACGGGGATAAGGCAGCAGCATTGCTCTTTGTCAGGCAGCAGCTTCCCATGTGTGCTGAGTAGGTGCCATTCTGGGAGAAGGGGGGTAAGCCACATTCATTCATAGGTCTGGGAAGAGAAACCTGCAGTTCCCCAGATCTCAGGTGATGAGAGCTGTGGGGTTGGCTCTTGGAGGACTCACATGTTACCTCAGGGTTGATTTAATTAGCAGCAAAACATTCAAAACAGGTTCTGAGTGCAGGTGAGCTCCTGTATCTTATTACAAAACGTCTACTGCAGGCAATAAAATTTACTTAGCACTTAGTACAGCACAGATAAGACACATTCCCTACCTAAATAGTTTACTGTGTGGGTACAGTGTTTGTAATATTAGAACATCCTACGTCTGCAGACTGCCTTTCATCTGGAAGGCCTCCAGAGCCCCTCCCAGGCCATCACATAGGGGACACCGGGTCCTCACTGGAGCACAGCCCCAGAGCTGGCATGGAGGGAGCGAGAGGAGCCCACGTGGCATCTGGGTGGTGGGCAGTGCCTGAAAGCCATCACGTGCTGCTGTTCTCTGGGTGAGGGTCAGAGGGGCTGTGGCTGTGTGACAGCCGTGGCACCCATCCCTGCGCCCAGCATGGGCTGCCTCAGCCGCGCACTGGCTCTGTGCCGCTGCTGGCACGCGCTCATCGCATCACCTATCGCCGCCGTAAATCTTCCCAGGTTAGGCATCCAGACCTCCCCGAGTCTTGTTATGGCCTCACATCACAGCTATCTGCTGCTTCAGAAGATGAAAGGCCTGAGGAATGCTTTCATTCATGTTACAGTGTGTATTATTTTATTATGTGCCTTGAACTTTCAAAGTGGCACTCGCCGCTGTTTAAATCATTCCAATGCAGCGCAGTCTGCTCCTGCCAGGAGGTGCCCCTTCCACAGAGCACATTTGCTGCATGCAGCTCTGCGTGGGCACCCCCTGCACAGCACACAAATGCTGCCGGTCCCACAGCAGTCTCCACATTTACACCCCATTGCAGACACCTGGCTGCCATGCTCAGAGTTTTGCAGCAGCCTTGTGTTGTTTCTAACGGCAAGCCTTTGCAAAATACACTTTCTCCTTCCATCTCCTTCCTCCTCCTCCTTCAGAGGCCTTTGAGTCCAGGCACGTGCCAGTTTCTAGCTCTCACCCACAGGAATCATCCCTGGCAGCACAGTCTCCATTCTCAGGGCAGCCAGCAGCAGGTAGCTAAGAAAACCATAGAATAATAAAATGGAAGAAATAGCAAGATTTTTTCTTTTTTTTTTTTGACACATATCTTTTTCTTCTCCCACCTCTGCCCCAACGCAGAAGAAGCTCACAAGGGAATGTGTTTTCCGAGAGCAGTTTGAAGAGAACTGGTACAACACGTACGCCTCCACGCTCTACAAGCACGCGGACTCGGAGAGGCATTACTACGTGGCTCTGAACAAGGACGGCTCCCCCCGCGAGGGGTACAGGACTAAGAGACATCAGAAATTCACTCACTTTTTACCAAGGCCCGTGGACCCTGCTAAAATACCTGCAATGTACAGAGACCTCTTCCACTACAGGTGATGTTTCCTGCAGCTGCCCTATCGATGTACATACTTGGGCTCCCAAGCTTTTTCCCAGAGCACTATATTAATAGTCATTCCATCATTCCTGTAAATGTAGATGACATAGGAAAGCACTTACGTTGAATCCAGACACTGCTGTTCCTCCTTGTTTCACATGTATATCAAACCTGGGTTATTTATGGGGGTGGGGATAGGGGAAGGGAGGGAACCCTACGTATAATCTTTCATTTTTGTTCACTTTCTTTACTTGGTGGCTGTAAGAGAGGCCAAATAGTCAGTGTTATGGTTGCTTAAAAGAACAAACAGGCAAGCAAACTTGTTAACCAGGGAAAAAAATAAACCAACTAGAATTCAAGGGAAGGAAAACTAAAGACCACAGAACTGCTCCAGATGCCTCTGATAAGCTCGGGATGGTTTCTGGCTAAGAAGCAGCCTTTCAGAAGGCACCCTGCTGCAGCAGCCCAGCAGCTTGCTACATGGATGATACTACGTGGACTGGTCCTGGTGTGTGGGGTTTTTCCTGCTGTTGGGGTGGGAATGGGGTGAGGAACATTATTCAGATGTAAGCATGGATACTGTGCATAGGGACAAAACTATTTATAAAATGTATATGATATTTATTTTATATATTTATTTATTTCAAAATAATTTTATTTTTAATGAAAGATGCTATGACCGGATTTTCATCAGGAAGAATAAGGTCCTACTGAAACAGGAAAAAAAAAGAGTTTTAAGAGCTTATTGGCAATAAAATTGTCTTTATATTGTAGATTTCTTGCTAGCCCTTTTTTTTTTTTGGCACTCCATAACCCAGTATTTTCTGATTGATATGAACACCATCTACAGAAAGGCTTTGGATGGTAAAGATAAATTTTATAAACTGGTACAAGGGCAACATCAAAAGTGCAGCTGGAACGGAGCTGGTAAGCGTGAGCCCACTGGAATGAGTGGCTGGACATCCAACAAACCCTGGAACTGCAGATCCGGTCCTCTGAGGCAGCAGGGACAAAAGATGTCCTCAGGCCAAGCACCAGCACAGTGCAGCCCACGAAGACCCAGATGGGATTGCTCAGGAGCTCGCCTCACTGCTGCGCAGAAAGGAACCTCGCTGGCACAGCCAGCGCCCTCACGTCCTTGCTGGGGTTGTCCTTACCACAGCTTCATTTCTCACACCGCAGTTTCTCAGCCTCCACTTTGCAAAGCCGTTTGGGTGAAACTTCAGCCTCTTCAGCTCTACTCCCCACGTTCCCAGAAGGAACAATCCGGCTTCTTCATAGCCCACGTACCGCTAGCAAGGCGGCCGCTCTGGGGCCCGGCGCTCCTGGCCACCTTCTGTCCTCTCTGCCACCTCCCATGTCCCCGCTGCAGCATTTGCTACCCAACGTCCCAGCCGGTGCCGCAGCTGTCACAGACAACAGTCTGCAGATTGCAATGAAAAGATTAAAGGAGCTTTACCTTGAATGATCTAGACATGGAGGAATTTAATCCCGTGTTTGAAATAAAAAATGTTTATTTACCTTTTTCCTCTGAGTCATTGCTGAAACATCTAATCCTCAGCAGCCATGTCAGGAGCACGATCGTTCACAAAAAGTGTCCTAAAGTGTACTTTTGACCTTAGCAAAGGGAAAACTCAGCTCTCCAGCTTCACTTTGCAGCCTTTCTGCCACCATCCTGGCAGCACCGTCTGCATCCTGCTGGTGCTCCTGGCTGTCTGGGGAGGCAAATCCCAGAGGGGCCACTGAGGGAGGGGGCAATGACCCTGCTGGCTGTCTGCAGCCACTGATTTCCTTTACACCTGAAGATGAAGTTAACGCTGAAGATGCTGTTTCTCATCTTCAAATGAAGGTAAAACCTGATCTGAGCAATGCCAAGTACGTGCTTTTTGACAACCTGAAAGAGATTTGATTTGGTCCACGCCACTGAACTGGTCCTCCAACGTCAGGATCCAGGATCAGACTTGGAAGGAGGCTCCTGCTGCAAAGGGACGCACGGGCGCAAGAGCGACGGCACAGAACTCCTTTTTGGGATCCGGGTTCAAAAAATAGCACTTGTAAGCAGCAAATCTGCAAAGAATTCACTGAAAACAGCTTTGTAGAGGTCGGTACCGTTTCTCATGTGGGACATTCTTTAGGGGAAATTCAGCATTGTTTAATCCCACTGTAATGGTTACTTCCAGCAGGAATTTACTGAGTTAGGTTCTGGTTCAGCAAAATACTTAAACGTATGAGTAATGTGACTGTACTGGGACCGTAGCAGCAGCAGAATCGATGACCACAGACTTTGACTGCGCTCTGAGTTGCAGAGGGTGCAGCCGGCGATGCACAGCATGTGCAATACTTCCCTTTCCCTTTGTGTGTGCATGAAGACACACTCACTCCTTGCACAGAGGCAGAGCTGACCACCTTCCCCCTCAGCCATCGCCCACAGCCGCTCATCCTGCCAACACCCTGCTTGACACACACTTTGGCAAACTTCAGAGATGTTGTTCCTCCTGCACAGCCTAGTGCCTGTTTTCGTTCCCACCTGAGAGGGCTGTTTCACACACAAAAACCCACAGATCTGAAAATACAACCATAAACAGAGCAAAGGACGTGGTTTTTTAGCAGTTCTCCAATTGGAGAAAGCTGGGCACGTAATAATTGAAACTTTATCCTGGGAACAGCTGTGTAAAGCAGGAGAGAGGACGTCAGCAGCAGAGTCGGATGGTTTCCTGAGTCTCACTACAGAGGGGTGCAGACATGGAGGAAAACTCTCAGCATGAGGCCAGAGCAGCACTGAGCGCACTGCAGCACAAACCTGGCTTTGGGGTGAGCCAAGGTGTGGGGACAGCTGGGAGGAACAAATGGTGACTCCCAGGTGGCCTCAAGGACATCCTCCCAGTGACCCTGCTGCCAGCGGCTTGGGGCCACCCAGTGCCTCTGCAGGAGAGAAGTGGAGGGGATTTGCCTCCCCTACAGAACACAATGAAGAGCCCAAAGCTCCACAGCAAGTCAAGAAAGCCTGTGCTGAAAGGTGAAGAAGTGCCCTTCTGGCTGTGCAGGGCAGAAAGAGACGTGCTATCGCTGCCAATGGCGGCCAACATAATCATGAAAGGACACTTGGCAACGGCACATCCCCGAAGGAGAAGGGCCAGATTGTTGTTAGCAAGGAACGGACACCTGCATCCCTCGGGCAGTGCCGGTGGGAGAAGAGAAGCCTGGGACCTGATCTGAAGGGCGATGTCCTCTCCCCCATCCCAGCAGCTGCAGCTGACTCCTGGACTGGAGGGTTTGTTGAATATTGGCCATCTTGACGGCAGGAGCAGTGTGCAGGGCAGTGTCTGCCTGTCAGTCCAGAAAGCTTCACGAGGACAAAGGCACTGCGAGGAAATAAAGTGAGATTACTGAGTGCTCACCCCAAGCCACAGGACACTGAGAACACTAAGGGTAGTAACTGCGTTACCTGGTGCCTCTGTGCCATTTATCAGCCCACAGATGTGGGCAAATCACTTCTCCACACACTCCGGTGAACAGAACGCTTGCCAAGAGCTGGCTGGAAAATCACTGGGTCAGAAGAAACACGGGGGTGACATGTGCTGAAAGTCATTCTCATTTTGGGGCAAACATACATTGTAGGTCGATGCACTTCTTCAAATGCTGCCGTCACTGGGGCAGCCATCCCAGAGAGCCCTCCCAAGGGCAGGGCAGCTCCCTTGGGGAAGCACCCTGTGGCCTAGGCTGTACAGATGCAGCCCCTGATCCTGATCTTAAGGTAAAGTCAAAAACATCTGCAGTCAGGTGGGCAGAGCAATCAGCACAAGTCAGCACAACAGCCGCGATCCGCATGGCACCAGCAGCCGAAATGCTGCCCCATTCGGGAATGAGAACAAAGTCATACAGCAGGACTTCAACCAAGCAAGTTGTGCAAGACTTTGTGTTTCTCTCAAAGCAAGGAACTGCTCTGGAGCTGTGAATTCTCACCATGGGAACACAAAGCAAGTAGTTCTGTACCTGTGTTGAGTAGTTTGGTGTCAAAGATCTGCGAGGCCGAACCACTGGGGCATCCTGTGCTCCTCCCTAACCATACCTCACTGTTACCAATGTCACGTATCCAAGTGTGGCCGATGATGGTGAGGCACAACAAGCACACGTCTCTGCCTGTGCTGCTTCCAGTGGGTGTCAGCAAGGATCCACAGACAACACACACGTTTGTGCAATTCCATTATACAAACAGGCACTGCACTGCAATTAGGCTGAGTAAAGCCCAGGTACCACACACTGTTTCATATTCAGCATCTCCAACAGCTCCAACGTGCAACATCACCGAATACAGAACCGAAGGGGCATTTGAAGGTCAGGCTTTGATGGGGCTGAGCAAAATGAGGACATCCTTCCCTCCCTCTCTACCTCTCTCCCCCTGCACTCAGCCCCAGCCCATCTCACCCTGCCCTCAGTCCCTCTGCCCTTCTCCAGTGCAGTGTCCTCACTTTCAACCTCAGCTCTTTGCCAAAACCTTCCTGCACCCCTGCTTTCCAGACACCCCTATGTCACCATGCACAGCAAGAAGGGGGCTCTGACCTGCTGAAAAAATACTTTGTGTTGCTGCTGTGTGGCAACAGCCTGCGTGGAGACAAAGCAAGGTCCCATGCTGGAACAGAAACAACAGATCCCACATGCCTCAGGACTCAGACCCTTTGCTGCAGATCTCCTGGGCTGCAGCCACTGAAGGCAGCTCTGCAGACCTTTCTGAGCCACAGCACCTCTAAGCACAGCTGGCTTTCAGCCTTTCACAGCAGCACAGCTCTCCGGAAGCTACAGCGGGCTTCAGCACGTGAGATTTAATAACTAAGAAAGTAATTAAGAAGTACAATAAAGAGGTTGAAAGACCTAAGTTCATCATTCAAATCAGAGGAAGCAGAACTTCCCCTTGCGCTCAGTGGTTTATCTCTGCTGGGCGACACCTCGCTGCTCGTGGCTTCTAACAGACCAGTACAGAAGGCACTGCTAATGCACACAAGCTGGAAAGCTGTCCCCTCAGCTGCCCTCCCTAACAATTAACATCCACGTCCCGTACCAGGAACCTCACTGAGGCAGAACACGAGAGCTTGACTCGCAGCGCAGCACCAGTCCGCAGTTCTCAGCAGATGAGATCTCAGTCTACGTGGAGATGATGCGGAACTGCAAAGGTAGCACAAGG